AATTGGAAAAGGAGAACACAAACAAAAAATAAAATAAAATAAAAAGAGGCCATACTGTTTAGGTTGAAGCGTCAGGTTATGGTATAGTTGGCCAAAAATATATTCTAGATACATTGGACTATTTTCAGACATTTATTTTTAATAAATGGTTCTTATTTATCATATTTGGTCTAAGTCTCAGCTTATTTATACCTATGTCTGATACTGACCGAGAAACATTGTTTATTAATTAACGTCATCCGCATATAAACTAAGATTTGTTTTACTGTCCAGGTGAATGTGTAAAAGTTGGTCAACATATTATAATGCCGAGAGTGATAATTGTGTCCGACTTTGATGCCACCATTGACACACAGTTTAAGGGGAGGGACGCCGACAACAGCGAAGACAGAATTAAAGTAGGTCTTATAACTTATACATGCCCTTTATTTTATTTGGACGCAATCATAAAATAGAAAATGGTTATGTATAAAGATTATTACTGTGGTATGATTACGTAGATGTTTGTTCACAAGAATACATGTTAATTGACTATGTATCAGTTAGTTAATATCATGCAATATATGTACATGTAGTTAACACTATAGAAAATAAGTCATACAAAAGCCTTGCGGAAAATCAGCTATTTTAACATATAGTATTGTCTGATTTTATTGAGCTGTCAATTATGAATACATTAATGCATTCATTTAAATATTCCATCCCACTTCGGTTTTGTCCGTTTATTTTACGAGAATTAATATGGAGTTTAACGTTTGGGAAACTCCCACTAGCTTAATGTAGTTCTCGAAACATCCGCAATAGCACAGTCGTTTAAGTGATTAGAATAGAATATATACCGGTAGCTTACCCCTTTGCGCTATAACGGTCAGTATAACTAATTCATAGGAACAAAATGAATCTTGTTTTAAAATCATTATCGTATGAATTCTACTTAAACAAAGTGTCAGTATCTCGGTTGTCATTTCTTACGAAACGATGAAATGGTCTAAGTAAATTGGTAAAAACACAACGGTAAACTGCGTTAAGTAATAGTTGTATCATAGTTTGGGGACCTTTCTGTTGAAAAAGTGCCAGAGTTAAATCGTATACATATACATGCACAGTGCGGTAACTGGAGTGCAGGTATCAGTTACCCGCACTCCAGATCATGCCCGTTGATTGGCTCATTTTTGCTGGGGTTTACATATTGTGACGGCAGAGAAAGGGAAAGCGGCAGAAATATCATATTCAGATGCTCGATCATTGGTTACTTTTTCCCGGGGTTTAAAATTGTGACAACAGGGAACGTGTTTTTATGTTTGACTATGATACAAAAGAGAAAGAACACCAAAACTCGAGGCAATCTGATTTATACTCGGGGGCTACGCCCCCTCGTACAAATCAGATCACCTCGTGTTTCGATGCTCTTTCTATTACAAAGAACACCGAAACACGAGGCTATCTGATTTGTACGAGGGGGCGTATCATAGTCAAACATAAAAGCACGTTCCCTGTTGTCACAATATGAAACCCCGGCAAAAATGAACCAATGAACGAACATCTGAATATGACATTTCTGTTGCTTTCCCTTTCTCTGCCGTCACAATATGTAAACCCCAGCAAAAATGAGCCAATCAATGGGCATGCTCTGGAGTGCAGGTAACTAATACCCGCACTCCAGTTAACGCACTGTGCATGTATATGTATACTATTTAACCCTGACACATTTTCAACAGAAAGGTCTCCAAACTATGATACAAGATCATTGTTATAGATCATAACTCCATCTTGACTAATTACAGAGTTATTGTCCTTTGTTACTTTTCCTTGTCCGGAGCATAACTTGAAAACTACTGTTTGGAATTCAAAACAACTTCATACAATGGTCAACCAGAATAAGTGGAAGTGCAGTGCACAAGAACCATAAACCATAACTCTATCTAAAATGATAACAGAGTTATTGCCCTTTGTTACTTTTCCATTGCTTTCGGACCATAACTTGAAGACTAATGGTTGGAATTCAATACAACTTCATACAATGACATTGAGAGAAAGTGCAGTGCACAAGAACCATAACTCTATCTAAAATAATTACAGAGTTATTGCTCTTTGTTACTTTTCCTTGTCCGGAGCATTACTTGAAAACTACTAGTTGGAATTCAATACAAAACCATACAATGGTCAAGCACAATAAGAGCATAACTTGAAAACTACTTATTCAATACAATTTCATACAATGGTCAAGTATATTGAAAGAAACCACAGTGCACAGAAACCATAACTCTTTCTTGACTCATTTAACAGTTTTTGCCCTTTGTTACTTTTATTGTCCAGTGCATAATTAATAGTTGGAATTCAAAGAAACTTCATACAGTGGTCAAGGGCAGTGAGATGAAGTGCAGTGCACAAGAACCATAACTCTATTTGGACTGATTACAGTTATTGCCCTTTGTTACTTTTTTTGTCCAGTGCATAACTTGAAAACTAGTGGTTGGAATTCAATACAACTTCATACAATGGTCAATTGCAATGAGAGGAAGTGCAGTGTACAATAACCATAACTCCATCTTCAGTATTTGTAAAGTTATTGCCCTTTGTTCCTTTTCCTTGCATAACTTAAAAACTAATGTTTAGAATTCAATAAAACTTCATTCAATGGTCAAGCGCAATGAGAGAAAGTGAAGTGCTTAAGAAGCGTAACTCTTTTTGGACTTATTACCAAGTAATTCAATAAAACTTCCATCAATGGTCAACCACATAGAAAGGAAATGCAACATACAGAGAACCACAACTATCTTTAATTGCCCACAACCATAACTCTATTTCAGTTCTTTTGCAAAGTATTCTGTTACTAGTAACTTCCTCATTTCCGAAGCAGTCTTGCGGGGGTATTAATCACAGTTAGTGATAGTTCTAGTTTGGTTTAAAATATGACAATATACAATGTACACTATGACATCCTCGTTTATTGGTTAATATATTATGTGTAAATCTTTATAAGTAATATGTTTATAGCATTTTATGAACATCGTTGCTCCTTTGTTTTTTGTTCTTAAACATGATATCATTCAATGAACAGGTACAGAGAGAGCTGTTCAAGTTAGGTCTTACATATAAGTCACGTGATTATGGCGTATTTTGCGTTCCTATTGGGGAGAGCAACCGTCCGGTGACGGAGGGCTTTATTTCTAAATGTGGTGGTGAGATTGTGCCACATAAAGGTGCAAAAAACGTCGGGAACTATTATAGATACCAGGTACTGTCAGTTTTACTCAGTCTATAAAAGATTGTCAGATTCATTAGAAATAATCATTATGATCCTTGCTTCTGTTTTGCATTTCACAAAATTCATGAGATATGTTACTATAGATGTTAAAAACATTTCTACTCATTAATTAAGATTTCCATTTCCAGGATATGAAGATATGAAAGTAATAACAAAATTTAGTATAACTTGAACGTTTTCAACTTCAGGTGACCATTGGTCGAGCTTTTGTTGATTATGACGAGGGTTTAAAAAATAACCAAGATTTGGATGTGTATTCGCTTGTACAAAGCACCATGCCGCAGACTGGTTTAGATAAGAAGCATGAGGTAATACATTTAAACTCCTTCAGAACAAACTTATTTAATATATGCAATGGGAAGAGAGGTAACTCTGTAACGTATATTGGAAATCCTTGCTGTGTGAGCTTGGGAGTTTCCTTCCTTCTATGTTACTTTTACAGTCTCTTGTAATTCAAAATAGAATGGCCGTATACAAACAACTTTTATATTGTCTTGTAAAATTATGTAATTGATCTCTTTTATATGTTGTTATGTATGGACTTTAATAAAGATTTTTTTATATACATTTATCTTGTTTTTAGGGTTTCTTTTTTTTTTCGGGGGGGGGGGGGTAATGGGAAGGGCGGATAGGAACGAGTAGGGTATAAATTCCTTTCCTGTCATCAGGAGTATTTACATTATCCATCAAATATTATATGATGATAATCAATTTTATTTTTAATTATTATCATCATTTTTCATATTAACATGAAGTTTTGAAATTGTTTCGTAAATTATAAAAAAAAATATATGACATATTTTAATTTCTGTTTGCTATTGGGAGTGGCTAGGTACCATTATCATGCTGTATGATGCTACATACATATTGTATAATCAATGGACTTAACATTCTAAACAAATATTTTTCACAGAAAGCCGTTGTTGCATTGTTGGAAAAGGTTTTACAAAAAGAAGATGGTATAGACGATTCAGATGAAGAAGAAATTGTTTCACCTACGGAGAATAAAGTAAAAAAACAACTAATATTTTAAATTTTTAAGCATTTCTTAGCTTTTGAATTGTCATAAATTATACCTTTGTTAACCTTAGTTAAAGTCTCTTGTTTATAGTTTTATACTATATATGTGCACACACGGTTATCAGGTGACGTTTCAAAATTTCAAGTGTCACCTTAATTGTTCCAATCTAAAAGGCTATCGGTTGATTTAAAGTATTCCACTTTACCTGTCATTGATATTCTTTCGACGTTATTGTAAACCATTTTGTGAAAGTTTAATTTGTAATAATTTGTTAAATACTAACAAAGTTAAAGTAAGCATCTACCGCTGAATCACATTCGGTTACTTAACTCTACTAAGGTTTCTTGACATGACGGGACTAGAAATAATATTTCGAGATGGATGCTCCTATAGAGTGTGTGCAAAATGTCAGACCATTCGATCAGTTTTTAACAAGAATAATTGTTTCAACGCTTTTCAATCGAATTGAGCTAAAATAACACTAAAATACGATTTTCAATTTATTTCTGAGTATATTTCTTAATTATCTTTTTCAAAAATGTTAAGTACCTTATCTGATCCTTGTTAAAAATTAAAATTTATGCTTTTAGGCTTTTGGACCTTAAGTTATATACCCTGATTTTCACGTATATAATGGCATCTTTCCAAAAATGACGTCTTGTCAATGATCAATATAATTTGATTGTACACTGAAATAATATAAGTAAAGGAAATAACGCATCAATATTTGACAGACCATCTGCAAAGTTTATTTTTTCTTAAGAAATAAGTACGAATACCTAGACATTTTGTTAATTTTTTTCTGCATCTATCATTTAGGATAATGGTGGCGGGAAAGTGAAATCAAATTGTTTTGATGATGATGGTGATGATGATGATGATGATGAAGAAGAAGAAGATGATGATGATCCACCAGATCTTCCAGAATGGGTGCCTACAAGGTTTTTATTTTAAAATTACTTTCAGTTACACCGATAATAAAACCAAATCTTTCTGTGACTATGATATTGAAAATGTTACAATTTAGCTATTTAAAGGTTAAGCATTGGTAAACATACAATTTTTGGATGGTTTAAGATAAAATGTGGAATGGCTTTTATCTCTTATGGTTTATTATTGGTTTTAATTGACCATTTATTTAATCGTTCTAACTGATAGCACCCATTTAAATGTTATGGATAGTTCTGCCTATATGTCAGTTATGAGCAGTTCTCTAACTGTCCATTGTACAGTATTACAGGTACTCTTTTCACCCGTTCTTTAAATCTCCATTAAGATGGTGGCAAAAGTATCTAGCAGTTCGGTAAATTTCGATTAAACTTTACAGTCAGTTCTTAATAACTCCTGTTAAATGGTGTACTCAGTTTTCTCAAAATTTCCAATATAATGCTAATTGCTTGTCTTGTATATTATATCCATTAAAATCACTTTTGCTACATTTTTTCTCAAACTTTCCAGAAAAGAAAATAATTTATGGAAGTGGATAATTATATAAAAGACAAGTAAATAACATTATATTGGATATCTAAAGAGGACTGGTTTTAACGTTTTAGAGTTCTAGTCATTTTGTCCCTTGATTGATTTATTTATTTCAATCATTCCTCTGTAGAAATGTGGATACTATCGGATTTGAGGAGCAAGGTGGGTTACCATCGATTGGTTCCCGTGTTGTTAGAGGTAAGGACTGGAAATGGGGGGACCAAGACGCTAATGGACCAGGAACTGTCGTAGGACACAAACAAAAAGGTATCCAATTACTCTGATATAAAAATGCATTTCTGAAAATTTTATTTTCATGATAATATAAATAATTACACTCAATCTGGTACGGTAACAACTAACTTGTCATATAAAACAATAACTTTGGTAGTTTAGCACGGAGGAAGGTAGTCTAGGACTGGTGTAACTCTCCAGAAACGATGGTTAGGAAACTACCCGCCTATATGACTGAAATACTGTTGGGAAAAGGCGTAAAATGAAACAAACAAACAAACAAAAAGTAAAACTATAATAACGAGGTCTTTATTGAATGATATGCTGGTTTCCTATGTAGGTATAGCATATATTTTATGGGACAACGATCAGATCGGGGCTTATAGACATAATCTGAGTGGACAATATGATGTTATAAAGAGCCAAGAACCAAGGCACGTGACTCCAGGAAATATTGAAGTCGGCTGCTGTGTGATAAGGGGTAAGTTATTATTAAAGTAATCATAGTAGTTGGTCATGTGTATAAGTAGATGTTAAATCAGGGTGTGAGGTATCATTACAATGTACATGCATGAACACAAAGCTTCTGTTTTTGAGATTGTCGACGAGACTCCAATTTGTTTTTATGGACAATTATATGTTCCCTAAGAGACGAATCTAGCGTGTGACTCTAAAATAGAGAAAATAAGAATCCCTAAAGAAAACCCAACACAACAAAATTGTGAATTATGAAACATCCGAAGATGTGTTCATATGGCGGTTATCATGGAACCTTCAATGTGACAAACAATGGGCAGAACTAAATAAAATGGAAAACCTTTTTTTTCACACATTGCAAGATATTTCTTTCGACTTGGTTTCTTAAAAGTTAGTGCGTAAAGGCACTTAATTTGATTTTTATAATTATTATTTTGTAATAACTCTATGCGCGATTGCAAATTTGATCAAAATATGAAATGTTCAAAAGGGCACTTTGAAATGTTATATACGTGATTGTTGAAATCAGTTGACGCCTGTTGACTTAACATTTAAGAGTATGTTATTTCTTTTCTGTATGTTTGTTATTATTGACCTCCATTGTGTAGCTAAAATTGCTGGATTTGCTGTGTATGGTATTGAATTTCTAATGTTACGAAGCTACATACGGGAGATAACTCAGTAAAGTGATATTGTGAACATGTCCATTTGTTAATGATTTTATACACCAGAGGCATGTGGGGTATGAAGGATAATTCTGAACAGGTTAAGAATTCCTTTGTAGATATTTTCGTAATTGATATGAATATTTTTTTATTTGTTACACTATAATTTAAGATATTTGGTGTATTTCCAGGAACGGACTGGAATCGTGGAGATGAAGACGGGGGAAGTGGTACTGTCGGTGTTGTAGTACGGAAGTTGACGGATAGATACGTTATGGTAAAGGGTTTTGTTAATTTGATTTAATATCTTGGAGTTTGAAACTAGAACAAGACAAATAGGAGAAAAAAGCAAATATGGTATGGCAAAATGTGTCTTAGTTTGTGCCATTTTTCCTCATTGGGTATTGATATAAAATCAAGTAGAGATATATGACTCATGTCCATAGAAAACTTCTTTTTTGAGATATTTATTTTATATTTTCTATATATTTACAAGTTACATGAAAGCTATGAACAAGATTACAATTTTGAATAAATTTCATATGCAAGTTTAGTGATCGGATGATTAATTTAAATAAAATATTTATAGGTAAGATGGCCGTCAAGAGTGATTGAAACTTACAAGTTTGGAGCTGATAACAAGTGGGACTTGGAAGTGTATGTTCTTTCAAATATCTTTATGGAATTCCCTTTTCTCTTTCCATTGAATAAAGAAGAATTTTTCTGTGAAATTTCTAGCGCTTTGTAATTAATTAGTGCTAAGATGACCCGCTCCGTAAATAAAATGCACACAGTATTTATATTAAGATCGATTATTTACAGTCTAAGTATGAAAATATATGTTGGATCGTGGCATATCTGATAACTTTAATTATATTTCGTGATAACTTTAATTATGTTTCGGGGATTGATTGGAATAAATCAGAACAGTGTACATATGCTTACAAAATACCTTTTCTGCTAACTTTCACATTGATAAGATACCACGAATATGGACGCCAGACATCATATGTTGTTATATCTAGTTCATTGCAGATTTTATTTCATTACAAATTAGTACATAAAATATATATACACGTTAAGATTACAAAAGTTTCGTTATTATCAAATAGAAAATATGATAATCTATGAAAAAGTCTAATTATATTCTGTTATATTTTTAAAAGAGCACTTTATTAATAATACAATTTTTGCTTTTTTTACCCGAGACTTTTTATTGTCATGACATTGGAGACATAGTTAAATTTATTTTGTAATTAATTTTATAGAACTCAAGATGTCCCTCATGCAGCTGGTAATGACCAAGTAGAAGAACCAGTAGCAAGGCCACCTTCTGTTCCACCTCAGGGTCAACACTGTAAGTAACTATATAGATGAATCTGACATGGCATTGCCATAGTGTCTTTTAAAAACATTTTCCTGAGCTCGTTCCATAAGTTTATATAAAATGACAATGGATTTCAGATTCTTATTATCATATGACTGAACTTAACCAGAATAATTCGTTTAAATCTTTATTTTCATTTAAATACAGACATGTAATATAAAGAAATACGTAATGGTTATATACTTATAACATAGAAAACATAGAAATGAATATACAAATGTAATTATACTGATAAAATTTTTTGTGACCATTCATAGCAGAAAAAACCTCGTGTAGAAACAAAATCTTTTTCGTTTATGAGATGAAATAAAATAAGAAATATCTGAAGATTCCTAAAATTGTCTAATGTTCCTTGTCTTATACAAAAGTTTTACTTTTCATATTTAATCAGCCGAAGAAACGTTGAAGCCTTGGTGGTCATGGATGGACAGTCGCGACCAATGGCGACCTTTCTCGGAACAAAGTGTAGCTAAACTTGAACATAAGATGGCAAGCGGACTTCCACAACAACAGTGCTTGGTTGACTATGAAAATAAACCGTAAGTGGTATCATTGTTTTTTGCTTATGATGATTTAATATCTCGTGAATAGGGCTGGGGCGAGTATCCGAGTACTCGGATAATCACGAATCAAAGTGAAAAATCGAGTTTGAATATTCGTAAGCCCAGAGATCGTGTATCGCAATCTAATTTTTTTTAAATATTTTAATATTTATTATTGTTTTTTTTTATTTTATTAAACATGTTTTTATAACTAATGTACATGTTTTCTGAAATACATGGGTGTCTTGATAACAAAAGATTTGTGGTTCGATTTGTGAATCGTAAGTGCTGAATCGTGGTTCGGATTGGATCGTCACTTATCCGACGATCCACACCCCTACTCGTGATACATAACATTTTGAGCCGCGTCACGACAAAACCAACATAGTGCGTTTGCGACCAGCATGGATCCAGACCAGCCTGCGCATCCGCGCAGTCTGATCAGGATCCATGCTGTTTGCTTACCAACTCTATTACAAGTAGAGAAACTGATAGCGAACAGCATGGATCCTGATCAGACTGCGCGGATGCGCAGGCTGGTCTGGATCCATGCTGGTCGCAAACGCACTATGTTGGTTTTGTCGTGACGCGGCCCAAATATCTGTGGCCTGATGATCTGTGGTGGAGCATTATTTTGTCGACGCCCAGTCTGCTATTATTTCCAACTTTCAAATACAAATTTAATTATGACATCATCAACTGTAAACATCCAACATTACAATTTATAAAATATAAATAAAGAACATAAAAGATATCATGATGTACCTGGCAAGACAAATGAGTTGGACTAAGTCAAAACGAATAACCTATTTACAAGGAGGCGTATGGGGTATCATTGCCATACTGTGGCAGTTCTAGTTTATATTGGTTACATTTTTTTTCAGGGTAAAAGTATTCCTATCACAAAATATCTGTGAAATTGGTGGTGTACAGCACCATGTCAAAAGAGAAAGTAAGTTTTGCGATGTCTTATTTGCTTATTTCTTTGTTTAGTGCCAAGTGTTTGGAAACTATAAAAAAAACAATCATCTTTTTAAAAAGCCATACATGAATTCATTCCTATATTTGCATAAACATGTTGTTGTCTGTTGTTTTGAAGCAATCATATTTGGAACATTGAACGTTTGTCGTTAACGTTTTTTGCATCTCAGAGATTGTAGATATTCGACACCCACAGGGGTTACGCAATTAAGTCCCTCATATTACACCAGTATTGGTTGCTTTAAGGAAGTGGACTTGAAATTTACCAGAAACAACCGTCTTCACACGCGAGCTTTAACGTTTAATTTTTTGTGTGTGTTTTGCAAACGCAAGAAATTCCAAAGTATGAACAATGAACGATGCATTTCATTACCCGATGTATTATCGAATTACTGACATTTTACGCTAGACATGTATATCTTACCTTGCATAAGCATGTTTGTGTTTTCTTGCATATCGGATTTTAAACTGTTTTCACCGGTGCTAACAATGTCTTGCACCTGTATAAGGCAAGTTGCGTGCATATAATGAATGAAGTTGTAGATTTATATGCTTCTTCAAGAAAAAGTAGTCAATAAAAATACAAGTTGAGAACGAAATTCGTCTTCAAGAATGAAACATACACGGCATTTTCTTTCAATTCTTTATTCAAAGATGTATTGAACAATCTATATATTTTATTAATTAATCTTTACGATAATTTATTTTCAGTGCTAAAAGCAGATGAGATTGAAAGCATGAAAATGTTGGAGCAATATCTAGAGCCTATAAACTAGGTTGAACTTGCAAAAGAACGTTACAATTTCTTGAACACCGGACTTTAAAGCTCAATGGGAGATTTTCCTTGTGAAACACAAATTTGGAGAACATCTCTACTGATTTTAAAAAGAAATCTAATAAGCCACATGGCTTGCTTAATTAAAATGAAATGTACGTGTTATATGAAATTAATGTATGACATTCAAAATGGCTGATTTCTAAAGTTTAGACAAATATCACACAATCTCATTTTTTTTCTCATTTGAATTTGTTGTTTATATCGTATGTGGTGTATCTATTTGTACATATTTGTCACAATGTTAAAATATTCTTTTATCTATGATTTGACAGGAAGATTCTTTTCGTATTTGTATTATTTGTATGTTCAACTTTGTCAAAATTATAATGTAAATTTATACTTTTAGAAAACCCACTTTTTAATTATAAACATTCAAGCATCATTCCTTGTCTCTTAAGTGAACATTTGAAGATGATACAAATTTTTTCCAACCAGGAGTACTTTTAATGTCTCTTAAGCTTGTGTACAAAACAAAAACTTAATTTATGTTGATTTTTAGCCATCATTATTTAGTCACTTTATTTTTGTTTAAATCTCAAAATGTCATTTTTGCCATATTAATAGATTATGTTGACAAAAATTACACCATGCATTTGTATAATATATACAGAACAACTGCTTATTGAAATACTAGATATAATGTTCTTGAAAATACAATAATATCTTGAAAATACATTTGTTTTAAAATAAGTTTGACTGTGTTTTGCATTTTGTCGAAAAGATGACATGTCGACAGTGATAGAATAAACTTTATCATGAAAAAACGGTTTGGAAGTTAAGTATTTTTACAAATTGAAAAAGCAAGGTGGAGAACAATCTGATTACCAACAGAAAATTGAAATAAATGAAACGCATGAAAGTGTCATGTAAAAGACATATATACATTATTTACTAAATTAAATTGACGACGTTGAAGAATATTAAAACCGGTTTCGGCTCATTTTCTGATTACAGAACAAAATAGTCAGTTGATTATCTTTACTAGAATTCATAAAGGAAGGTATGTGTAACATAGCTTTAGAAAAGAAATCTGATCTAAAATCACCAAACATAAAGTTTAATACGACATGCTGCTCAACAAATGCTGTTAACCATCTTGTCCCAGATTCTCGTATCTTACCGATATAAATAGGTGCTACCCAATACATTAACTAGTAGAACGCTGATCTATATTAGAGTCGAAAGGGGCAATTCAGCCGTAAACCTCCCCATGGTCAAATATTTAAAGAAAATTTTGGTTATGGGCATAGACACATTGTAGAATGGTCCATGATTAAATTCATTTCTTTGCTTTCGGACATAATAAATTATAATGTTGAACATAAGTTGTTGCTTTTCGTTAAGATTTGTGTAAACTTATAGCGTTCAATGTTGAATAACATTGGACACTTCCAACTTTCTGACAGCAGCCTAAACGTGGTATGCTTGACAAGTGAGCCAAAAGATCGAATATCTGAAACTTATACGTAGCATCTTGAATACTTATAGAAAAATATATTCACTTTGATCCTATTGTACAAGTCAGGTTTCCATCATATCGAAGGAAATAATGATAAAGCAGTTGTCGTTATTTGTCTCCGATATATCAACATTAACAACATTCAACAGATATTCCGTAATGAGTATCACAAAGGTAGCGTGTGATAACCTCCAGATCTTTATAATGTTAGATTAAAATCTACACCAGACATATTAATCTTTATATTCTTATTTAGAAATTTAAAAAACAAATGGTTTTACTTCTATAAAATAATTTATATTTTAACTTGTCGAGTGTCTCAATAAAAAAATACGTCAACATCAAATGTAATGCTTTCTTATATATCTGGCATATGAAACTCCCATCTAAATCAAATTGTCTTGAGTGTAACAATCAACTGTGGTGTTTCAATCGCTATTAGTTAATGCTTTACTCTATCACTGTTGCGGCAAGGTAACTGCATTACGGTTCATATATCTTTATATATTGTTTACTGTATTATATAGCAAGACACATTTGTCAGATTTGAATCGCAATCTTCATTTGAATAGATATAAATTGTTAAACACCAATGTGTTTTGCCAGGCATTGATTTATCCACGAATTTATGGAGTGAAACAGAAAATTGAGGTCACTATTGTTTAGACTCAATCAAAGTTTCATTTCATTTCATTAAGTGTTTTTGAGATAAGGACATCATTTAATTGAATTCAATTATGGAAATATTAAATTAAAGAATTACATAAAATACTTGAATAATGTGTTCAAATAAGGCTTGAAAAACAACATTAGCATTGATTTCATTACCTGGTTTCTAGTAGACAGTGGAAATGTTTTTGTTAATTGCACAGAAAACTTATCAAAATATAAAAAAAGCTGCAGTTGTACTATATTTGAATGAGGATGGAAAGAAGATGTCATATGACTGGTTATTCAATTTCGTAAAAAAAATACACAGCGTTGTTTTTAAGATGAACACAAAAGTTTATAAAACCTTTTATACGGCATGGATGGTTTTAGATGACAAAGATTCATTAAATCTATAATACTTAATTCTTAGATTCGGATAAATATTTATTAAAATTCTGCAATAAAATGTTCGATCTTGTTTTATACAAAATTCATCATAACTAGTAATCATTCTCTGTTAAATATTTGAAGTACTCGTACTTATCAAAAGTATTGATTAAAATGGTGTTTTTTATAAATATAAAAAATAATTGTAAAAAATGAATAAATAAAAAGTCCAACATATATTATATGAAAACATATGTTTTCAACGATATGGTAGAAATTTAAAATCTGCTTTTGCTTGTGGAAAATTGAATTACGAGGTTCCATCATACTTAGAGTAAAAAATGCAGGAGGAAAACTTATACCGAAACAACTGTAACTTCAATCTAATCGTTTATGGTTTTTTCTCGTAGAAAATGTTTTTTTGATATTTATTTTGCTTAGGTAAACATACTTTAGCTATGTTTTTCTAAGTTATTTAAAACAAACACATGATCTTGTTATAATGTGTTTGTTAAGAGATTCATATTCACGCGCTCTTTTAGGCACGTTTGAACGTCGTTGTTATAATAAATAAATTAAGCAAATCTGCTTATTTTTCCATACACCTAAGGCTCATACAATTTAGCATACATTTTCAACTACGCATTCGAAATCAACACGGGGTTGTATTTTTTTTTAAATATAAAGGCCCAGTTGTTCAAAAACTTTTGTTTATCTAACAATAATTTCATTGTTAAATGAAAACCAAAGTTTTGAACAACTGGGCCAATGCATTTTCTATTTCCGAATACTGCCGTAAGCTTGTAAATGTTAAAGATTTCAGCAGCAATTACAATTGACATAAACACAATCCACTTTCTTATTCATACACTGCACATCACTTGCTGAAACATTCATGTGCCTGTAATCGTTAAAACATTATTCCTTGTACATATATGCAAATGCTCATAAAACAAAACGGAAGGCTATCAATCCAGATGTTCTCTTATTGGACAATCTTGGATTGTAATAAATTTTTAAGTCGCATTTTGCACCACTTTACATGGCAATATATCTGAAATGTCTAGTTTTAAATTTGAAGTTTTACATCTTGCTGTCGATCAATGATTCTGATAGGAATAAAAATGCAAATTTAAATGAATAATAAAGTGTAAAAGCAACTATAACGATTCATAGATTCATTTCCTTTTCAAACATCATGTACCATATGTACAAAATATATTTGAACTATGATTACCAATCTAATTTTCAATTCTAAATTGAAGCATTTTCAATAGAATCTAAAATTTAAAAAATCACAAAATTTAAAATGATTTGTTTCAAGAATCATGTCGTGTTAATTTCCAGAGTTTGCATTCATTTTGCACTCATATGTAGCGGAAAATACTTCTGTATAGTCTGATTTCAAAATAAAATTACGTAGGCTGTACTTTATACTGCTGGAATCTAAGAAATATTGCAGTAATGTTTGCTAACAAATAATGCTGTAGTTGACTCATGTCAATGTTGAATAAGCTAGAGTAATCTCCCTTTTTCAAACAACAACAAATTGCAACTGATATACGCTAATCAAATAATTTGATTTTCAAACAATTGAATTTCATATCATATATATTTGCTTACTTTCCAGCGGGCATATGCATACCATACACAGATGTCTATTTATGTGTTTTTTTTATTTACAAAACAGGTGAGAACGCAATCATATAAAATCCAACAAAGTTATAAACAAACAAACACCATCAAACATAACATATAAATCAAGTACATGTCATCATGTAATAAATCAGATAATCGATGACTTCCATGACATATGTAGAAATATATTGCATAACACATAACATAATCTTTATTTTTCTCAGTACATGTAAACATGCAAATATGAGGAATTTACAACAAGTGCTATCAACATACAAGGCTTACAAAGAATAAAATGATGACATTTTGAAAATCAACCAACAAGCAAATCAATAATCAAAATTTGGCAAGTCTATATTTATGTATAACCTAATGTAATAGCTACATAATAAGTATTTCCAGGTAATAGTTACATTCCTATCTTCTGAAAAAGGTAATTTATTATTAAGCGGAAACTTGGCAAAGCAACGTTACTGCCGTTAATAGTTACCCTCGAGCTAGATATCCCGGTCTGTACAGACAGCCGATGTCTACAAGATCCTTATAACATTAATCTTGAACACTCTAAAACCAGTAACCCAAACATTTTTCCATATGATGACACAAGCTAATCATTTTCAAATCTGTTTCTCCACTTTCCGTCTATCTTATTCTTTGGTTTTGCTCAATAAACTTGTATAATCGAATAGAAGTAAAATTAGTTTTAAGTCCAAAGACGGATAGATGTATTCGCACAGCAAGTAAGGAACTAAAACCCGAAAAGTGCCGAGATGTAAATTTAGATTCATTGTTAAGTATATAAAAATTGATGTCGCAAAAATATATCAAATAGATTGAAAGCTTACTCTTTTGCAAAATTGTCTGTCAACTTTGAATCAATAACGTCAATGAAACGAGCTTATTCTAGAGGTAATTTTGTATCCTTTTTTTTGATTTAAACGTTTCATATGGAAGTCTTTAATTTATTCTTATTTATTTTAATAAATGAAACGAGTGCCATTGCTAACAAAACATTCAGCAGACACTAATGTCAATTTGTATATTTGTTAATGAATGACATTTTGCAATAAACAATTTGCAAAACTCTAAATGACAGAGGAAAAATAAGGACAGTTGGATTTTTTCCTATTCCAATGACAGATATAATATTTACAAAAATAACTCCTCACAATAATAAGGTGACAACGCTTATCTAACATTGTAAAAATTCAATCAGTCGTCTAGAAGACGCAGATGTCAACACTATAGAAGGTATGAAGTTTAGCAAAAATATCCTTTTAAGAAGTATTTTTAACCGGATAATTACAATTGTAAATAATTTATCTAATATACTTGTCCCATGAGATAATCGTTACTTTAATTGATATAATTTGATGACATAGAAAAGAAACTATTCTAAAAAGTTATTACACTTTGCAAAGACCAGGACTTAGAAAATTATGGTATTTTAAAGTGACTTGGTCCTTAATTGAACGTACATAATACAATAACTAATTATCCTGACAGTATTTAAGTAGGCTTCATAACCTCTGATCCCCTTTCAAAATTCCATTTTATAAAGTTTCGCCTATTGTTTTCTCGTAAAGGGCACACGCATGTTTTTTTCTTAAGGACCATACGATGCTTTTCATG